AATCAAGCTCTAGTCACAGAGAATAGGGATAAAAACATCAACAGAGGTCAAAACTTAAAAGGTCGTAATAAGTCTAAATATAAATTCAAGTTTAAAAATAAAGTGAAGTGCTTCCATTATGGTAAAGTAGGTCATATAAAGTGATACTACAAAATCTTAAAGCAAGAATGAAAAGACGAGAAAGGCAAGAGTTCAGATAATGACAATGTTGAAGCAATGAATTTAGATAGTAATTCAATTACTTTGATTTGTACACATGATAATTGTAATCATGTTGATGATCCTGGTATTAAGTGGATAGTTGATACAAAAGTGACATGTCATTGTGTTCCTAAGAGGGAGTTATTTACATCTTACAAAGCAAAAAACTTTGGTTACATCAAGATGAAAAACAAATGTGTGTCACAGATTGTTAAGATTGGTAATATTGTTATACAAACTAGTATAGGGTACATGTTGACTTTGAGGGATGTCAAACACATTTCGAATATGAGAATGAACTTACTTACTATTAATGTCCTTGATAAGGAAAGATATGAGAGTCGACAAAAGAATAGGTAGTGAAAGCTTCTCAAAAGATCTATGATAGTTGCAATAAGAAAACTATGTTACATAATGTATAAGACATGGATGTAATTGAACGGCAACCAAATAAATACTATTGAAAATGATGCTTTAGCAAACTTGTGGCATAAGAGGCTGGCACACATGAGTGAAAAAGGGTTACAGATTTTGACAAAGTAGTTCCCCATTCCCTTGACCAAATGCATGTCTTTCAATTCATATGATCATTGTTTGTTTGGCAAGCATCGTAGAGTTTTTTTTCTTAAGAGTTTTTATAGAAAAGATAATATATTAGAATTGATTTATTCTGACTTATATAGTCCATTAAGGTTTAGTCATTGGGTGGTAGCCAATATTTAGTTACTTCTATTGATGATGCTTCATATAAAACTTAGGTGTATATGTTGAAAAATAAAAGCTAGGTATTGCAATATTTTTGAAAATTTCATACCATAGTGAAAAGGATGACAGGGTTGCTCTTGAAGTGTATTTGAACTAATAATAGTAAAAAGTACACATCTAAAAACTTTGAAGAGTACTATTTAAAAGATGGGATCAAGCATAAGATGACAGAACTTGAAACACCGAGCATAATGGTGTAGCTAAAAGGATGAACTGTACCATTATAAAAAAAGTCATATGTATATTGAGGATAGTAAAATTATCAAAACCATTTTGGGATAAAGTAGTTAATACAGCATATTATTTGTTTATAGATCACATCAGTTCCTTTGGGCTTTAACATTCCAAAATGAGTGTGGATAGGAAAAAAAACTTCATACTCTCACTTGAAAATTTTTAGATATAAAACATTCATGCATGTGTCAAAAGAGCAGAGGTCAAAACTTAATAGTAAAACCACACAATATGTGTTTATAGGATATGATGATGAGGAATTTAGCTATATGGTATGAGATTCAGTGAAGAAAAAAATAATCAAAAGCAAAAATATGATCTTTCAAGAAAAAAAATCATAGCAGACCTCGAGAAAAATAAAAAAAAAACTACACGAAAAATGAGTAAGAAATAAAACTTAAAGATATGAATGAGCTAGTTACAGTTAGTGATGAGCCAGATGCAATCAGTTTTAAGTAAGAAGAGTAAACTTTTCTACTTAAGAGTGTTAAGTAAGGTGAGCAATCCTTTCCATCAGAGAGTATTGAGTAGGGGTAGCTACTTTTGGCATCAAGTGATGTAGAGTCTCAGCCTAGAAGATTTACTAGAGAGCATAGACCATCTGCCAATTATCCAAGTTCATATTTTATTTTAGTTACCAGTAAATGGGAGCTAGAGAGATTTCAAAATGTACAGACTACTCTGGATAGAAAGCACTGATTAAAAGCAATGAGAGAAGAGATGGAGTCATTGTGAAAAAAATGGTACATATAATCTTATTAAACTTTCAAAAGGAAAGAGACCGTTGAAGAATAAATGGGTATTCAAGTTGAAAAATGATGGTGACAAACTAGTGAGGTACAAAGCTTGACTAGTGAAAAAGTTTTTCTCAAAAATCAGGCATCAATTTTGATGAGATCTTTTCTTCAATTGTAAAGATGAGTTCCATTCGAGTGGTACAAGGATTAGCAGCTAGTTTAAATCTTAAGCTTAAGCAACTTGATGTTAAGACTGCATTCTTGCTTGGTGACTTATAAGAGGACATTTACATGAATCAGCCTAAGAGTTTTGAAGTAAAAAAGAAAGAGTACTTAGTTTGCAAACTGAAAAAAAGCTTATATAGCTTAAAACAAACTTTACAACAATAGTATAAAAAGTTTAATTCTTTTATGGTAGGCCATAACTATAAAAAAACGATAGCAAATCCTTTTGTGTATGTCAAAAAATTTTCTAAAAGTAACTTCATTATTCTCTTATTATATGTTGATGATATGTTAATTATAAGACAAGATACTGGTATGATTCACAAGTTAAAAGAACAATTATCTAAGTCTTTTAACATGAAAGATTTAGGTCCAGCAAAGCAGATTCTCAGTATAGACATTATCCAAGATAGGAGAGTTAGAAAGCTGTGGTTGTCATAGAAAAAGTATGTTGAATGAGTGCTTAGTAGATTCAAAATATAACATGCTAAATCAGTTAGCAATCCGCTTGCCAACCATTTTTATCTGAGTAAAAAATCTTGTCCGGTGACTAAGAAAGAGCAACTAGTTATGTCTAATATTTTTTATTCTACTGCAGTTGATTTTTTTTATGTATCTTATGATTTGTACATGGCCTGAAACTATTCATACAGTTAGTGTAGTGAGCATATTTCTTTCTAATCGAGGAAAGGTTCACTAGAAAGTAGTGAAATGGATTTTTAGATATTTAAGAGGCACCTCAAAAATGTGTTTGAGTTATGAAATTTCACATCAAGTTCTAGAAAGGTTACTGATGCTGATATGGTAGGTGATCTTAATGGTAAAAAATCTACTTTAAGGTATTTGTTCACTTTTGTAAGATGAGTTGTTTCTTGATAGTTTAAATTACAAAAATATATTGTCTTGTCAACTACAGAGGCTGAGTATATTGCAGCCACTGAAATAGGTAAAGAAATACTTTTGATGAAATGTTTTCTTCTTGAATTGAGGTTGAATCAGAAAGAGTATATAGTATTTTGTGATAGCTAGAGTGCTTTAGATTTGAATAAGAATGTCATGTACTATGCTAGAACGAAGCACATTGATGTTAGATATTATTGGCTATATTCGGTGATTAAAAAACAACAGATGCTATTGAAAAAAGTCCATACTGATGAGAATATAACATTTATGTTGACTAAGACAATTCCCAAAGAAAAGCTTGAGCTCTGTAATAACTTAGCCAAAATGGGTTCCTTAGCCAAGGTAAGTTTCAAATGAAACTGTTATATTGATGAATCTCCTTCTAATGGGGCTGGGAGGAGAGATTGTTAGGAAAAGTGAGGTCCAACCCCCATTGGTTTTGGCCAATTAAAAGGCCTAAATCATTTTTTGTCTTTAACCTAAAAAAGCCCTATTTATATAAAACCTTAAACAATAAAATGGGGGCTGTGTAATAAAGAAACAGAAGGTGGTGGCGCCAAACCAAGAGAAAGAAGAAAAGTCAGGAAAAATACTGAGAAAATGGAGAAAAAAAGTTGGTTGAGCAAAAATCGATTCGTGGTCCAATTGAGCTAAATTTTTGTCAGCAAGTTTATGATTCAGAGTTTTACCTTTTGAATAGTAAAGATCGAGTTTAAAGCTCTCTAGGAGTAAATCCATGGTATATTTGTTGAGTCACCTATTTGGTAAAATTTCTTCAATTATCTCTCTAGTTGTTGATTAGCTCTAGTTTTAGCTAGAGAAAAACTTTGTATATCCATTATTTGATAGTGAAAATTTTTTTGGTGATCCATGATTTTTCTACACTTGAGGGATTTTCATGTAAATCTTGATGTGTTTTATTTTTTCTATGTTGTTGATTATTAATTATTGTCTATTACTATGAGTTTATTACGATATATTGCTTTTACATATTGTGTTTATTGCTTCAAGCTCAATAAAAAGAAAACTATAATAGACAAGTCAATGTTACCATATCTCTAGTTGTAAATCCTTGAAGAAACTTTATATTATTCGTAAAAAAAGGCAAGTTGTTTTCATAACACAAGCATTTTAGCTGATCAGGATGCTTAATTCTTGTTTTAATTAGTAAATGTAACATGTAGTCCTCATTCATGGGGTTGTTAAATTAGCTAACTTACCTGATTTAGAAAGTGAGTGCTTGCCAGCTTAATTTAGAAAGTGAGGGGAATGAATAAAAAAGAATTGCTTGTCTTGGTAACTGTGGGTTTGGCTTGACAGGCTTCGAAACTGTCTGATGATCATAATGCATAAGATAATTAACATTTCTTGACCTGAAAATCATCAGAGAGAGAGAGAGAGAGTAGAGAGGCAAGATGGTCCCACTAAAATCATTAGAACACCCACTCAATCACATTCAGTGTCCCTTTTCTTTAATCTTTAGCAGCGGCAATCCCCAACCAAAAGCCTGCGCTTGGTTGAAAGGGAACCTAAAGAAAACCACCCTTTCAAACCTAACAATTGAAAAAAGGTTGGTCATTTTACCATCCGTGAAGGACTCTGATCAAATTAATCTTTTTCAGGAAATAAATTGATTTTTTTTCTATTATGCTTTGCGAAAGCATCTTAAGAACTATGAAAATTCTTGAAATGGTCGTGACTTTTGCGTGATAATCTTATGGCTTGTAATGTCTTTAATTTTTTTAGGTCGTCCATTTTCTTTTCTTGCTTTTGATAAGAACTATGTCAATGAAAATATATGACATCCAAAAGAAGCGCCCTGAATTCAATTTTTTTATCAAAATATCCACAAGAGACATTCAAGCTGTTTAACTTCTTTGCTTTGATTAACTCCTATCCTATCAACTGTGACACAAAGAAGCATATGTCCTTCATAAGTTTTCTAGGCCTTGTTCTGTATCAATAATGTTCTATTTATGATCATTAATTGATTTCTGGCAGATGTATCTTCCAATTTCTAACTCTCCATGAGTAAACCATGTTAATGCTTTCCTACATGTCCTCACCAACTCCAAAAGACTGTAATCAAAATAGTTAGAGAACAAATACAGAGATGTTTCTATTATTATTAGACTTAGGCCAGTGAAATACAAAACTTGTCCGTCGATCACGCAAATCCCCGTGATAGTGAATAATCCATTTGTTGTTGTTTATTGTTATAGGCTTATAGTACGACAGTTTGGTGTGGATACTTTGAAATTAATAAAAGAATGCTGGTTGCATTGTTGTTTTGAAAAGGACAAGCATGACTTTGCCTAATTCTAGGCAGCTTGCTTGTCCGTTTGAATTGTGAAAATTTGGCAATGCAAGTAATTTATCATACAAGACTTGGGAACCTTGCAGCAGAAGAGTGAAAATGGAAAATTCCTATAATTCATTCTCCGAATCCATAATCGAAAAGAAAGAGACAGAGCAGATGATGTTATCATAGTAACATATATCATAACAGAGCTTACTGTACATTAAACATCATCAAATGGAGTCACTCGGTAGACACTATAACCTAAAGAAGAGGGTCTACAATACTTGGAAAATAGTATGTGGAAAGGTTGCGAAGAATGGGTTAAATTAGCTAATCAGTGCCATTAACATGGAAGAAAATGTAAAGACCAGCCAGCCTTGAGACTTGGGAACTGAGTCCCAACGTTTTCAATGACTGGTGAAAATGAAAAAAGGGAAGAAATATAGAGAAAGAAGAAAGGATGGTGATTGACATCCTATGGACTAGACATTGCATAGTTCAATGGAGCCACAGTCAAGTAGTTCCTCAATCATTTGTTCAACGTGATCCTCTTCAAGAGGTTTGAACAGCTGGGTGCTTTCAACTTCAGCTTTCTTGACAACCCAATTGGCTTCTGCCTCTTGAACTGTCAATGGTCTCTTTTCTAGCAGACGGACTCCCATTCCGTTGTCTCTCCCCGCAATGCCACTGTTGCTGATAACATGTGGAGTTGGTATCTTATTTTGTGTCTCGTGCCCTGATTGTTGTTTGGTCATTTGAAGTGAAGCCATGTAGCATTTGTGTAGTTTAGCTGTCAAAGCTGCTGAGAGAAGCTTGGATGATGATGATTGAGGTGCATTTGGATTGTAAGGGAAGTTGGTTCTAGCCCTTTGTCCACACATAAGCCTTGCAGCCTCATCGTAGGCACGAGCCGCGTCTTCTGCCGTTTCAAATGTTCCCAGCCAAATTCTAGTTTTCCTGCACAAACGAAACGATTCATTTAGTACTTATAAGGAATAGAAAAACATACCTGAAAGGCTGAAACGTTCATGGTGTTTGAAACTCAAGTTAACTTACAAGAGAGGATGGCGAATTTCCGACACCCAAGAACCCCAATGCCTTTGTCGAACACCTCGATATCGTTGTTGTGGTCTGGCCATGTTAGTTATAAAGAAACGTTTCTCTTGAGAAAGTGTTTGTGGAAATTCCTGAATGAGCAAATAAGGCAAGAAAGTGATGCTAGGGAGGGAGGGAGGGAAGAGGAGGCCGGAGGGGCTTTTTGTAGTCGACAGGCATATGGGGGCAATTTACTGTCATCCAACTGGAAAAATTGTTGGGTCCCTCAGAGGTTTCAACTGTCAATGGTCTTCCATTTTTTTTTTCTTTTATCTATTTAGTTACAGTTGGCTAATTGCCCAAGCGATGATTGTTGAATTAATAGGAGAAGGGAAATTTCAAACTGACGCAATTCAGTTCACATGGTTATAATAATAGCTTTTGCTTCAAAAAATAATTTCAGAATATTAAACTGTTGCTTTATCACCCTTCTTTCCTCATAAAAATCTCCCATAGATTCTTCATGTGAACGGTCTTAAGTTCGGATAATGACTTGAGCAAAACTACCAATTGCTCTCTCTCTCTCTCTCTCTCTCTCTCTCTATATATATATATATATATATATATAAAACAGAAAATAGAAAAGCTTATATTAATGTTCTTTTGAACCACAAAAAGCTTTGAAAGTATCCCAAAATAATTTTTGTAAGGCAATTTTGTAATTGAAAATTTTAAGGAATCTTAAAAGATTTTGTTTTAGTGTTGGTTGGAACCATTTGATGACCAATTGGTATCATGTGAAAGTTTGAACAGATTATTTCATATACTTCCAGCAAAGCAAATTGTTCCGTTAAGGAAAGATTCTGTGCATCAATTAGCACTGGAATGATTGAGTCAATCCTATGATGGTTACCTCGATTGAAGCATCTTTGACCGCCATAATTACCATAATTTGATCAAATCCACTTCACTATTTGTCATATCAATTTGCCCCGAGACTGAGAATCACCTGATCTTTCAGGCATAACTCCGAGAGCATTTTATTTTATTTCCTGACATAAACATTACTAATTATAATACTAATCCACTAAGAAAACCAACCAATGAAACTTTTGTTTAGTGGTAAGTCAGAGATTCTAAAACTCTAACAATACATTTAGTTCGCGGAATCTAAAACTCTAATGGCACGTATGGTTCGAGGAATGTAATATATAGGAAATAAAATTGGTATTCCATGAGAATAGAGAACAAGAGAAATAAATAGAATATGTATTATTAAGTTTGGTTCATTAGAATGAAATAAAAGAGGAATTAATATTAATATGTTTGATTAATTCAAAGGAATTAGTTTAAAAGTTCATCTTACTCTTATAATTTTTTATCAAAATTGTTAATTAATAAAATGAATAAAATATTAATAATAATTTAATATAATTATTAAATATTATTAATTAATCTTAAATATTAATATTTCATTAATATTAATTTCATAAAATAAAATATTAATTTAATATAAATAAATATTAATTTAATTATATTAAATATTAATTAATAATATTTTATGCTAACTTAATAGTATTCTATATTAATTTAATATTACTCAATATTATTGTAATATTATTAACTATTAATTTCATAATATTAACTACTATCTAATAATATTAAATATTATTGAACAATATTAAACATTAGTTTAATAATATTAAATATTCAATTTAATAATATTAAATATTGATTAAATAATTTTAAATATTTTTTTATTTTGTTGAAATATAAATTATATGATTTTTAATTAATAATTAAAAATAAATATTTTTTAATATTTTGTTGGTTTGTTTTTGGAGAATAAAATCTTTTAAAAAAATTACTTATGTTGAATTGCATCACTCAATTATAATTGGTCAAGTATCAACTTCTATATTAAATAAGAGAAACTACTTTAAAAATTTATATAAATTAAATCAAAACCCAATAATATATACATGACAATCCAACCTACCAATACAATATTTACTTATTACCAGTATTGATCAATTATCAAATTCAAATCTATTTACCCAAGGAATCAAAACCTATTAATATCATTACTCATGCAACTTTTATTTCTTAAAGATGGTAAAAAGGGTGTGGACACCTTTTTTGTCCAGAACAAAAAATAAATAAATAATAATAATAAAATTTTAAAAAAAAGTCAAAAATTATTTTAACTCTAGCAGCTGAACTCAAGCTGCTAGAACATTTTTTTTCTTCTTCAAAGCCAGTGCATTTAATGCACCGAAAGCATTGTATTTGCCTAACTTGGTAGCAAAAATTAGAGATTTGTATCCATAAAAATCTAGGATTTAATCTCATATCAACCTTTTTAAATCAAGCGAATTTTAGACAAAAAACAATAGAGAACCTAAAAGGAAAAACACTGCCAAAAAAAAGCACGAACAAAAAGAAGGTTAGGTTACTAAGTTCTGAAAAAAAAAAAAAAAAAGAGAGAGAGAGAGGAAACACTAAGAAAAAACAACATCACATTCTCCTTAAAGAGGAAATACCAGCAAAAAAAATTTTTTTGTTTGCAGAAACAAAAAAAATTTAAACCGAAACTAGAAACCTTTATTTATAAGGCTTGGTTTTTTTTTTTTTTTGAAAAATATATTTTAGCAAAAGTGTTTAGAATATTTGAGCAAAAGTGTCTAGAATAGAAAAAGAAATTTTTTGAAAATTTTTTTGGTTGCCAAAATTTGAAAATTTTTTAATTTTTTAGCGATCGGATGAACTTTCGAGCCACTAGAATCTAGGTATATCGTTGGAATCTAAAATTTTATAGAACTTTCTAGCATCGTTGAAGATTCTGGCTACCTACGCATGGTGTCAACTATCTAGAATTTGGGCTCCACGACAACTAGTGAGGGAGTTGGGATTTTAATAAAAGAGGGTTTGGCTTTTAAAGAGAAAAAGAAAAGGAAAAAATATTTTAAAAAAATAAACAAAAAAGGGCCTTTTAAAGGCCATTTTACTAAAACTAAATAATTATCAATAATAATAAAAAATGTAAAACAATAAAAATAAATAAATACTAAGATGTTAATTTAAAAATAAAAGGATAAACAAAAAAATAATATTATTAAAGAAATATGAAAGGAATTTTATTTTTCATAATTTTAAAAGTAATAATATTTCTTGAATTTTGCCAAGGTGTTGGGATAATTTAAGAAATTATTTTTGCTAAAAAAAATAAAAATAAAAAATACTAACAACAATTATTTATTTGAATAAAACTTCTAAAAATGTAATTTTTAAAGAAAATTTAAAGAGTTCAATTTTCTTTAATTAATGCGAGTAAAAAAAATATTTTTAGATTTCGTCTATGAGTCAATATAATCTAAAAATTATTTTTCACTAAATAAATATTTATTTAAATATTTTTTAAAAAACAATAAAAATAAAAATATTTTTTAAAAAACAAATCTCTTAATTATTAAAAATATATATTTTTGGATTTCACCAAAAAGTTGGGATAATTCAAATATATATTTTTACTAAATAAAGATTTATTTAAATAATAACAAAAAACAAGAAAAATAATCACAATAAATATTAATTAAATATTTAATTAAATCTCTTAATTATCATCAATAAAAAAATGGTTTTATTTAGGCTCTTGTCAAAAAGTTGAGATTATCTTAAAATCTGTATCAAATTTTTAAGATTTCACCGAAGAATCAGAATAATTCTAAAATTAATTTAATAAAATTTTGGGATTTTGCCAAAAAATTAGGATAATCCTAAAATTAGTTTTAATAAATAAACAAAATATCTTATGACGAAATTTCAAGAATTTTGTGAATGACCAATTTTCTCGAAATTATCTCTAAGTAAAGATTTTCTATAAATTCTACTAAAGTGTTGCAGAATTTATATAATACGAAAATAATAATAGTACTAATTTCACAACAAAAGATGGTTTTTTATAAATAAATTTTAAGAAATTAAATTTAAATATAAATAAGACCACATCATCAAAATTAAAGGATTACAAATGCTTACTTAGTACGATTCTTTGAACAAGCAACATGAGGATATTGATACCTTCCTCACTCGTAACTGTACTCTCGGATTCAACCATAATTTTGCAAACCTAAATGTCTTTTAATAAATCTTAATTAATTTTAAGATTTTTATTAAAAGATAATTTTTTTTGGGTGACTAGTCACACCTTATTTTTTTTTGGGTGACTAGTCACACCCTAAAAAGAGAATTGGTGATGACTCTAAAAATTTTCATCAAGTCTAGTAACCGAGTCCTCCCAGACAAAAAATAGTTATGACAACTTGGCGACTCCACTGAGAATGCTAGAAAGTTAAGCCAAAATGAAACTTGTGTCATTCAAATTTTGATTTTTTGGTCTTTTTAATATTTAATTTTAATTTCTTATCTCATCTTAAAATAAAAACAAGATTAAAAAAAAGGGCAAAATTTTGATGGTTTCATTTAATTTTATTATGTTATTTTATTTGTCCTATATTTTGCTAATTATATTGTTGATTTTATTTCAATTAATAATCGTTACGTTCCCTCACATACTTGTATATTCGTATTTATGCATGAGTTCTATACTTGGGCTACTAAATCTATCCATTTTTAGGAGGGAATAAAATACCTACACTTTCGTGAGGTTATAACGTCTCTACTTAGGCTAGCAAAATACTTTCACTCAAGTTGAACTCTTTCCGTCGGTAGCCTATTAGAGGTAAAGATCTGGGGCTTTACTAGTCTAGAGTAGACGATAGTGAGGATCAATTTGGGAACCCTTTTTAGCCTTTTTTAAATGCCAAACCTTGTATATAATGAACCTTTAAAAGTGAACTTTAGATAAAGCCATACCATTTTTTATAGATTATACCTTAAATTAAGACATATGAAGGAATATTTATTTTAATATGATTACTAACTCTAATTTATTTTTCTTTCCATTTGTTTCATGATCATGCATCATCATAAACACTTACATATGGGATGTGTTTGTCAATGTGTCAATGTTAGTAAGAAGATTTTTGGTCTTGCTTCAGCAACACCATCATGATGTTCTCAATTTCATAGCCCACTGTGTATGAAGAGGCTAATGTGGTGATAGCTCTATTGTCAGAAACCCAAAGTAGAATGGGAAACTACTTGAAAGAATCTAAAAAGG